TATCAGCTTAGAGGGTTCAGGGTATCTCGACTGGAGCCTTCTTACTTGTTATTCTTAAATGTTATGTCATTATTTCGCAGTATTTTTTTCGGTACGTACGTAGTAGCCGAGGAATGACTGAAATGTGGAAACGTACTAAGGGGATGCTCTTTCATATAAGTTTGTATGGGGACCAACCAAGGCGTCGAATTTTCGTCGATATAACCGGCTGAACGCTTCTAGCAGAGTCGTTATAGCCAGATTCCACGGTATATACATATATTATCACTGTTTCACTTGGTTTCCCATAGTAAAAATCCGCCGAAGACATGCTTAAACTACAAGTAAACAGCAGGGGTAACAGAAAATATAATTGCTTCCATTATATTAACGACCACTTTATTGGAATATATCTATACTATGTATACTATTTACAGGCTCTCGACATCTAAGTTAAAGTATTCGCTGAACTAATTGTAATTTTCTGATCCTTACTCTCGTGTTCAGTAAAAGGTACCATTGATACGCAGCCTTCGGGATCATCACGGCTAAATAATTTATTGCTTGTATCGTTAAGATTAATATTTGAAAATCGGTCGAGCACAGGTGCAATCGGTAAGCTGTGATACTGCTCATCATCCGTGCCAAAATAAAGCCTTAGTTGATGTTGTATGTTTTCCTTCTCGTTAGCACGATTCCTCTGAAAGTCTTCCTCAACTCTAATTTAAAAAAATATATGTATTTAAAAAAATGACAATTATTAGAAAGCTTAAATAAACATTTATTACACTTACTTCTTTAATGCTTCCAGTTGGCCATCTAGTGATACTTTCAGCTTTGAAGACTTTCCAGATTTGTCTGCATTTAATTTTTTCTCTAATAAACGAACAGGATTATTGAACGAGAAACGGTGATGAAATGGTTTATCATCTTCCAATTTTAAGCCCTCTTCATTCATAGCCTTGAATTTAAAAATTAATATTTTAATTTTAAAATGATATTTTACAAATATTTTAATATATACCTGTATTGGAAAAATTGGAGTTTTATCTTGTAAACTTTGCGGCACAGGTCGCTGTCTGCTTTTGAAATAACGATTTGATTTAGGCTCTTGGATATTGGCTTGCGATTCTGCTTGATAAACTTTCAACGAATTTGTTTGATCATTACTAGCTGGCAGGTACATCACGTGCTTTCCACCAGTTAAGAACTTAATTGACTGTGGCCCCAATGGAACAAGTCTTTGCCTTTTACTTCCATGCTCCAAACTTTTCGTGTAAGTCTCTGTACCACTGATGTTTTTATGAAGCAACCAATTATTGGAGCATTCCAAATTGGTTGCAGCAATATTTTCCTGCTGATGTAAAGTCGAGTTTCTTTGGTAAGAAGAGGATCCAGCGCTAACACCATTTGAATAATTTTCTGGCTTCGACTTCTGTAGGCTCTTGTAAGTGCACACCTTTGAATATAGA